ACACCTTCAGCATTTGGGAGACAGAGGCAGGTGGATCTCTGTGAGTTCGCAGCCAGGTCTACAGCCTGGTCTACAAAGCTACACACAGAAACCCTGTCTTGTAAAACAAACAAACAAAAGAAAAAGATGAAGAAGAAATGCAGAGAAATGTTTAGTCATCTATAATGGTCAAACTTGTAATCATGTTTGGTATGTTTTCAAAGTTAAACATCTATTTTAGATAGATGGTCTTCAAACACTTCAAAGCTTTACAGGATAAGGCATTTAAAATGTTATGTTTACATAGAACTTTCATGACCATGAGACATCTGCTTTTGCTAGCGCCAGTTTACTTCAGAGATGATGGGTATCATATATACTCCTTATGGAGTTTGCTTTTAATGTGACAAAACTAGCCATTTGGGTAAGAAACTGCTCTTGTCTTGACTGCTGACAGTATACTGTACAAACTGGACAAGCAGGACACAAAGGAAAAAGATGGTTAAACTTGGCCCAGATAAGGTAAGATAGTCCTTCAAAATTCCTGCATCACAAAAAAGTATGCCAGACATTCTGCAGGACACACAGGAATATGACTACTGAACTTTGCCTAAATAAGGAGGGACAGTCCTTCAAAATTCCTGCTTCTTCTGCTTTTTTTTTTTTTTTTTTTTTTTTTCTCTCCTTTCTTTTGGTTTTTGGAGACAGGAAAATTCCTGCTTCTTAAAAAAAAATCTGCCAGACATTCTAGGCCTGTAGGCTGAAGATTGCATGCCCCAATGTTGCAGAGGAACCTTAGGTGACTGTCCAGGCAGTCAGATGTCTCTGTCATTTTTTTAGTTTTGGAAGTGGTTTGCATTACACTTTCTGTTTTCAAGACAGGATTTCTCTGTGTAACCATGATAGCTGTCTTGGAACTAGCTCTGTAGACCAGGCTGGCCTTGAACTCACAGAGATCCTCCTGCTTAATGCTAGGATTAAAGGCTGACACACTGAGTTTACAGCTACAAGCTAGTTCACAATTAGACAAGCTAGGCCTCACAGTTCACTGACACTGTCTGCAGATTTGGTAAGAATTAGCTAAAAAACAGAATTTCTTCCCACACCAAAATATGAGAAACACTATTACAATGCATAAAATAAGAATTAAAGAATGATTTAAAAATGGAACAATTGCCAGGCATTGGTGGCACATGCCTTTAATCCCAGAATTTGGGAGACAGAGGCAGATAGATCTCTGTCAGTTCAAGGTCACACTAAACGACACAAAATTGATGGAGAGGAACAGCTCACACAAAGGTGATCTCAGCACTTGGGGTCACACACCTTTAATCCCAGCTCTCAGAAGATAGAGACAGGAGTGATGTGGCTAGGTGCAGAGAGGAATACAAGGTGGGAAGAGACAGGAAGTCAGGGATTGCAATCTGAGGCTTGGGGAGGGCAGTGCAGTCTGCATTGCACTCTGAGGATTCATGGAGACAGGATCACCCATTCTAGTCTGAGGTAGAGATAAGAGGTAGTGGCTGGCTGCTTTGCCTTTCTGATCTTAAGCTTGAAGCCTAATATCTGACCCTGGGTTTTTATTATTCATGTTATAATTGTGTCACCACTGCCCAGCTGCACTTCCTGTTTACTCAGGTAATAATATATCTTCCTGGGGTCTTTGATGGAATTGAATACTAGATAGTTATAGTTTTCCTTAGTTATGATAGATGATAAATTAGGCACAAAACTTTGGATTCATCAAGAGAGAATAGGTAATGGAGTAGTTTCTCTAAATTTGCCAAATACAAATGGACTGGACATTGTAAATGTAATTCTCACCTGATAATTGTTCTTATTGTCTATAGTTTTATCATGTCCAACTTAAAACCTTTTTATTTAGACCAAAAGGGGAAAATGTGGATATTCCTTTATACTGTGTAAATATAGGTCACTGTGATTGGTTTAATAAGAAGCTTAAGTGCCCAATAGCTATGCAGGAGTTTCAGGGTAGAGGGAACACTGGGAAGAAGCCAGAGTCACCAGCCAGATGCAAGATTCATAATTAACAAGTCTCTGTGTAGTTACTTGGGAGTGGGCTGGCAGGACAGAGAAAGCCTGATTTATTACTCTCTGTAAACTGATTTTTTGTTTTTTAGGATGGGGTTTCTCTGTGTAACAGCCCTAGCTGAACTGGAACTCACCCTGTGGTCCAGGTAGGCTTTGCACTCAGAAATCTTTCTGTCTCTGCCTCCTGAGTGCTGGGATTAAAGGTGTGTGCCACTATGCCCAGCTAAATTGATTCATCTTTAGGATTTGTCACAAGAACAGAATGATAACACACTAAACAAGAAATAAAGGAGAATGCCTTTCATCTACTAGAGTAGTTAAAAACAACTAGGGTGGTAGCACATACTTGTAATTCCAGCCCTTATAAGTCTAACCTGGGCTATGTAGTGAGAACTTGTCTCCAAAATCTAGACAAACACAACTAAAAACCTACAGATCCCAGTCTAAGTAGTAAAGTGTTTAGTTTTCTAAGATCAAGAGAAGATATCCATGACCATCACATTTGAGAGGAGTTGAATTTTGCTGTTAGGACATATTTAAGTTTTAACGTCTGTACCCCAAGATGTGACCCTATTTGGAGATAGGATGGTTACAGATGAGGTCAAACTGAAGAGAGAGTACCTAATCTACTATGATAGGAGTTCTTAAAACTAAATATGGCCATATGAGGGTAGCTGAGACAACCCAGAGAATGGTGGTATGCTACTGTAAACCAACAATCTCCTTTCATCATCATCACACACACACACACACACACACACACACACACACACACACACACACACACACAATCTATTCTGTCTCTGGAGAATGCTGGCTAACACAAATACTAATGAGGGCGTCACAAAGGGAACTTCTCATTTTTTACCCACCCCTCCATTTTGTTGAGGAAAGGATTCATGTACCTTCTGATCTTCCTGTTTCTGCCTCTCAAGTGCTGAGCTATCATGCTTGGCTAAATATTTGCTTTTTACTTTGGCTAAGTCAGTCCCATAGGTAGTTCAGTTTAGAAAAATCCTTTAAGCTAAAGTACTTACTTTATACACTTTGTGTTTGTGATGCTTAATCCTGATTGCCATCTTGTGATTAGTTCTATAGGAACTAGTTGAAGCATGAAGGATCCACCTTAAAGGAGGGTTGCATCATTCTAAGCACAGGGTTCTCAACCTTCCTAATGCTGAGACCCTTTAATACAATTCTTCATGTTGTGGTGACCTCAAACCATAAAATTATTTTTGTTGCTACTCCATAATGATAATTTTGCTAAGGTTTTGGATTGGAATGTAAAAATCTATGCTTTTCAATGGTCTTTGGTGACCCCTGTCAAAGGGTCATTTGACCCTCCAAAAGTTAAGAACCATTAGAATAAAAAGAGAAAGTGAGCTGAGTATCTGGAGTGGTCACAGATTGCAGATGCAGAGTGACCATGCCTTCTCCACAGTAATGAACTAAAAGTTTAAATGAAATTTTTTGTTCTTAAGTCACAGCAACAAAGCATATAACTCAGAAAATTGGCAGTGACAAACTTGATCATGTTTTGGAACTGGTCTGTTATGGGTTGTAGAAAAGCTCTTGATGGCCGGACATTAGTGGGGCATGCTTTTAGTCCCAGCACTTGGGAGACAGGCAAGCGATTTCTGTGAGTTCAAGTCCAGCATGGTCTACAGAGCTAGTTTCAAGACGAACTCCAAAGCAATACAGAGAAACCTGTCTCGAAAAACCAACCAAACAAACAAAATGCTCTTGAAAGCAGAGCTTAATGGAATGTTTTTTTGTCGTTTGGAAGATCAGAATGCCATGAAAGACATCATGAAGGTTAGATTCATGAGGTTTCAAAGGGAAACAAGACTTGGGAACCAGGGAGAGGCCATTCTTGTTACAGTATGGCTTTTCAGCCTTGTTACAGTATTCTTTTTTTTGGGGGGAGGGTTAGTTTTTCAAGACAGGGTTTCTCTGCATAGCTCGGGCTATCCTAGAACTCACTCAGCTCTGGCTGGCCTCAAACTCATAGATACTTGCCTCTGCCTCCAGAGTGCTGGGACTAAAGGTGTGTGCCACTAACACAGGCAATTGGTTGTATTTAAAAGGACCACATGGTATACTCATGGTATAGTCCAGGCTAGCCTCGAACCCAGAGATCCACTTGCATCTGCCTTCCAAATGCTAATAAAATGTGTGCCACCATTTTAGACTTTTTTTTTTAATTTTGTTTTGAAAACAAAACTTGTTCTCAACTTACCTGATACTTTTACCTTAACAGTATTTTTTTTTTTAAACTGTATTTAAAGGTTTGCTAAGTGAAGTATATGAATAAAAATGGCCTTCATGGGCACATATGGAATGGTACTATTAGGAGGCATAGCCTTGTTGGAGGAAGTGTGTCACTGGTGGTGGGGTTGAGGTTTTAGATGTTCAAGGCAGGCCCAGTATCTTATTCTTTTCCTGTTGACCTGGATGTAGAACTCTGAGCTACCTCTCCAGCACTGTCTGCCTGCACACTGCCACATTCTGCCATGATGATAATTAATGAATTAAACCTCTGAAACCATATTCCAGCCACAATGAAATGTTTTCCTTTATAAGAGTTGTTGTGGTCATGGTGATTCTTCACAGCAACACAGAACACAGACTAAGACACTAAGTGAATCAAATTATGCAAATATCCACTGGAACATCTGACTTATAAGAAGACAAAGTTGGACTGGAGAGAAGGTTCAATGGTTAAGAACACCAACTGCTCTACCAGAGAATAGTTTAGTTCTCAGGCATCTTACAACTACCTGTAACTTCAGTTCCAAGGGCTCTGAGGCCTCTGGCTCCAACAGGTACCTGCACTAATATATGAACATACCCATATATGTATGCAGACATACATACATATATACATAAAAAAGTTTTAAAAGATGCATACATTTTTAAAATTGAAACAAATTATTCCTAAAAATAAATAAAATAAAAAACAAAACAAAACCATCAAAAAGTATGTTTAATTAACTGAAAACAGAGAAAGCTAGTAAAGAAAGGCAGGCGAATTTTGTAAAGATCAGAATCGAGGAGCTCCATAATCATCTGGCATCCGTTCAATGTTGTATCTGATAAGGAAGGAAAGGAGACACTGTTAAGAAAGGAGGTATGGTACAGAACCCATCTGAGTCACCTCTACCCTTCACTCTCGAACCTTATCAGTGGTAACTTTTAGAGGGATCCTACAATGAATGACTTATACCAAATGTTGACTATGTATTGCCTTTGCTTTGTTCAAAGCCATAGCATTGGTGAGCGGCAGCTAGGACCAGAAGTCCAGGTGAACCTAAGTCAGCCCACATTTTAATCAATATATTATGCTCTCCCAAAATGGAAAAGAAGGACATAGAAATCTTTGTAGGGCAGACATGGAAATATCCAAGGATAAAAAACTGTTTTGTTTATTAAACATTTAGTTTCCCAGATGAGGTATTAATCAAATACCCCCCCAAGATGGCTTCAAATGCACTAAGTAGCAAGAATGATCTTGCATTTCTTGTCACTATTTCCCCAGTGTTGGGAATATAGGTATTCTATCTACCCTGCTCAGCTTTCTTCTACAGTGAAGATCAAGCTCCCCTCAAAATCTCACAAAAAAAGTTATTTCTACCTAAAAGAACAAGCTTGACTTAAAATAATGCTTTGTATAAAGCAATACATGCACTTCTAATAATCTTATTGTACCAATTTGATGTTTCTTTCATTCTTAAATTCTATCTTTATCTTCTACCCTTATTCTTGCTATTTCGTTTCATTTTTCAACTTTAAATGTAAACAGGATAGTGTAATTTCTTTGAAATCCTCTATAACTTTATAACCTGCTCTCACTTGAATTGATGACCAACTATGTGCCTCTAGTCACCTTCCAATAGCAACTTCTCACCTATGGTTAGAAATGTACATGATAGGAACTCCAGGGATCTTCCGGATTCTTCGTTTGAGGTCACGGTCAACTGTAGCCACAATGTAGCACTTGTGCTGAAAGAGAAGCCCACTGATGTTTACAAAGAACTGGGAGTCCCTCATTTTCACAATAACTAGCAGAGGGAAGGATGCTAATACCTAGGAGCTAGTTATATAATAAAATGTATAAGCTACCAGACTGCAGTGTGCTCTTATGAATCTTAAGGGGAAGAGAGAAGTGTTTAAGCTGCAAACGGTTTTCTGTCTCACACCTGGGAGGGACTGCCACAGTTAAGGCAGACAATTCCTTAGTTTTGGGAAAATATCCTGACAGACTCCATGCAAATGCCTTATATTGGAGGGCACAGATTTTCCTCAATCTGCTCTTATGGCTTAGAGGTACTCTGAAGTTCTGTAGAGGTGTAAGTAAGCAGGTCCTGGGCCAGGAGAATAACCTCTAAGATTCAAAACTCCAGTTTAGCTTAACATTATCAGCTGAAAGCTATTTTGTTATAGTTTACTTAGTATACAAATCTCCATTGAGTTTTAAGTTTGCCTCTGTGGTGGCAGCTGTGATGTGTTACCATCTATGGGTCAAGCTAAGAGTAGAGTGGTCATTAAATGAATATGGTCTTCCTTAGCAAGGACCCCGGTCTTCCTCTCTTCCTTTGCATGGTCAGTCTCTCATCTTCCTTTCTTTTTTTTTCTCAGCTCTGTGGCTGGGCATCCAGGTAGTACCCTACCACTGAGCTACAACTCCAACCTGAGAAAGGTTCTTATGTGAGCCAACCAATAGTAGATGTTCTGTGTTTTCTGACGAGCAGTTCAGAATGGAAGAATTCAAAAGGGAATGAATCCAGGGTATGTGAAAAATAGCACCCTAGGAGATTCTCAGACCTGACCCAGAAAACATTTCTGAGTTAGGTATGGTAGAGAGGAATATCATTCCTATATGGGGTGGAAATGGAACCTTATTTAAGATTCACAGGCTGGTAGAATGTGGTATATTATTATGGCTGCATGAGTTCACTTAAAATACATTACAGAGGCAGGTGCATCTCTTGAGTTTGAGGCCACACTGGTCTATAGAGTTCAAGGACAGCCAAGCCTGTTACACAGAGAAACCCTGTCTTGAAAAACAAACAAACAAACAAATAAAAAACATATTACAGGGGATTTGTGGAATAAAGACCCAGTCATTGTCCTAAATCACATACTAAGTTAATGCAGATGTTGGAATTGTTTTTATTTTGTTTAAGACAGGATCTCACTGTGTAGCCATGGGTGACCTAGAACTCACTATATAGATCAGTCTGGTCTTCAACCTTGAACAGATATCAGTTGGCTTCTGCCTCCAATGGATAAGGTGCTGAGATTTGAAACCAGACTTCCTTGCAAAGCACAGGCTCCTCCCATTATAGCTAAAAGCACAATTTTTAAAAATCTACTTTTTCAAGTAAATGGTATCTATGCTGCTTATGAACAACTGCTAAAATATATATTCATGTTTAATATAGGTATATATTAAGAAAAACCCACCCTAAATACCTTACTGAGCTTGAATATTCAGAAGGCAATAATTTGTACGCCCCTCTTTTTGGGGGTTTGTCTCACTGTATAGCTGAAATTGGCTATATAAAGCAGGTTGGACTTAAACTTAGAGGTTTATCTGTCTTTGCCTCTAAGTGCTGGGATTAAAGACAAGTGTGACCTCACTGAGCTAGTTAGTCTTTTTTCCTTACCAAAAAAAAAAAAAAAAACACTTATTTGGGTGTGTGTGTGTGGGTGTGTGTGTGTGTGTTTTATGTGTGTATATGCATGCACCATGTGTGTGAAAGTGTCTGGAGAAACCCGAAGAGGGCATCAGAACTGGGATTGCAGGGGGCTATGAGTGTTGGCATGTGAACCTGGGTCCTCAGCAAGAGCAGTGAGTGCTCTTGACCACTGAAACAGCAGCTTTTCAGCTCCAGCTTGACACATTTTCTTCCTTTTTCTTTTGGTTTCCCTGTAAAGTTTCTCTATGTAACTCTCGTTATCCTAAAACTTGCTCTGTAGATCAGGCTGGTCTCAAAGTCACAGAGATCCACCTGACTCTGCCTCCCAAGTGCTGGGGTTAAGGTGTGCGTCACCACCACCCAGTTTTGTTTTGTTTTTTAGCACAAAGTAAGCACTTAACAAGTGATGCTGATACCTGAGTGACTCTCTGTACCAAGCAGTCATCAGCGTAGGTTCCTTTGTGTGAGCATGGCAGTCGGTCAAATCGTGGATCCTTGGCAATCCTGCATGATTATAAAAGTGAATTAAAGAAAACATTCTCCATCCAACTAGTAAAGCAAAGGTATCGTCATCTATGTGAGGTTTATGAGGCACCCTCTCTTCTCTGTAGCTCATTTTTTCATTTTATGAGGAAGGGAATTACAATCATGAGCTGATAGTGTTTGGGCTCATCTATCCAGCACCAAACTCTTTACTATTTGTATTTCTGTTTTACAAAAGGGAAAAGAGATTCAGACATTAATTTTCTCAAACCTACAGAGTTAAGAAATGTCAGGATTGAAAATCAAATTGTCTTACACAAATATACTGCAAGACAGGCACAGGATGGTCACCATGGCATAGCCCATTAACAATATAAAAGCTTAATACATTTTCTGTGCTTGTCTGATTACAAACAAAAATTTAAATGTATCAATATGGGAGGACCTTTGCTAACCTGCTGAATAACACAAGTCAGTGAACTGTATGGGTGAGTGTAGGTATAAGATCCAATAAAAAAAGACAGAGAAGAGTTTTCCTGGAACTTTCTAGATTTGCACTAGGTAGAAAGTGATCTGTAAAAAAAATACATGTTCCCTTTCAGCTGTCTTTCTTGTATGAGAACAAGCAGTGCCATGTGGAGGAGTTACAGGCAGTTGTGAGTACCCAGCACGTAGTAGGAACTAAGCTGAGGTCCTCCTGAAAAGCAGCAAGTGTTCTTAACTGCTCAGCCATCTCTCCAGCCTCTTTTCCTTCTTTCTTTCCCTTCCCTTCCCTTTTTTCTTCCTTCCTTCCTATTTAAATTAACTGGCCAGGAAATCTTTGATTAACAAAGAGATTTGGTATTCTAAAATATCTTCAGTATGCCAAGGTACAGTAAATCTAGACTACATTCTTCCTACCTTAGTGCTACTCGATACTTCTGTCCCAATTTCTCAATTTCAGCCATTACACAATCAGTTATACAAGGGATACCTGCAAGGAACAAACAAAACACAGCATAAAAAATTAGTAACAACTTGTAAATATATCCTCTGAATTATATTTAATTCAGTCTGTAAAAATCCTGCAGACTTCTGCAATTGACAGCAGCAGACTAAGTCCATTGAAATTACCAGTAAGAACTAAAAGAGAGGGGTTGGAGAGATGGCTCAGCAGTCAAGAGCATTGACTGCTCTTCCAGAGGATCTGGGTCAATTCTCAGCACCCACAAGGCAGCTCACAGCTGTCTGTAACCAGAGTTCCAGGGGACCTGGCACCCTCACACAGACATGCATGCAGACAAAATACCAATGCATATAAACTAAATAAAGAAAATAAAATATTAAAAAAATGATAAAAGAACTAAAAAAGAATTGGGTATGGCTTGTAATCCTAGCTACTCCAGATGCTGATGCAGAAGGATTAAAAGTCCAAGGCCTGCATGGATTAGAAGGAGCTCAAGGCCAACCTGGGACAAGTTGGTGAGACCATCTCAAAACAAGAAGTAAAAACAATCTGGGAACATAGCTCAGTGGTATAGTGCTTGCTAGACAGTCAGGAGATCCTGCACTCAATCCTCAACATAATGGGGTAGGGTGAAAGGTGGGAGTGATATACGTCTGTAATCTGAGTATTTGGGAGGTAGAGGCAGAAGGATCAGTAGTCCAAGGTCATCCTTAGCTACACAATGAGTTCTAGGCCAGCATGGACTACATGACATCTTGTCTTAAAACAACAAACTCCTCCCCAAAAGACAAACAAAATTATATATGTTTAAACAACAGAATACTACGTAGCTTACAAGGATGAGGTCTATCTACATATACAAACAAGGCAAAGTGCTTTAGGTATATTATTTAATGCCAAAAGGAAGAACAGGCAACTAAAATGTAATCTCCACACACAGTACACACAATCAGACATAAAACAGTATGTGCTCTCTGTGTCCCTTGAAAACATCATGCTGAATGAAAGAAAGCCAAATAAGAGGTTCTGTTCTTTTGAAATGTCCTGAATAGGCAAATCCATGGAGACAGAACTAGATTAAGGTCACTTAGGGGTAGAGAAATGAGGAGCACTGCCCATTGTGGGATATAATAACTGAAGATACTGGACTTCTTCTTGGAGCACACTTCCCTACTCATTGTAGGCCCTTCTGCTTTCACTGTTATATGGCTGTGAAATTAGTCTTCTTCAAGCACACATTCCCTTCTGGTTCCAGAACCATCTAATTTCATTGACCCAGTATCTCCATTCCATTCTCATTTAAACTTATTTTTAGTTTTTCTCACTTGTCTTTGAAAAGCATTACTAAATATTTAAAATTTTAAATTATATTTTAAATTATTGGGGAGAGGGTTCGGATCATGTTTTGCAGTGCATTTGTAAAGGCCAGAAGACAATTTGAAGGAATCTATTCTCTCCTTCCAAAACATGGGCTCCAACTCAGGAGGCTTGGTGCAAAGTGCCTTTTACCGGATGAGCCATCTTGCTGGCCCTAGTATACTTATTTTTTAATAGCTTTTAAAAATATTTATTTAATGAGTATGACCATTTTGCCTGCATATATGTGCAATCATGCATATGCCTGGTGCCTGTGGAAGTAAGATTTCTGGAATTGGAGTTATAGATGGTTATAAGTCACCTTGTAGGCACTGGGAACTGAACCTGGGTCCTCTGTGAGACTCTCCAGCACAACCTGCCACCTGCAGCAGTTTTATTTTTTAAAGAACCATTTTCGCAGAACAGCTCATCTCATATTAGACTTAAAATGTCTACCAACCATATTGAAAATAGGTGTGCCATCACCTGGCTTGTCTATTTATTTACTTATTTATTTTATGAAACACATGCAGAGAGGATTTAGTATAATTCTTAGGAGGCCTAGGATTTTTTGGTGTGTGATGGGGCGGCGTTGGAGAGCAAATCCAGGGATCACATACACATCATGCAAGTGTTACATTAAGCTGTATTTTCAGTTTCCATTCCTGCCTTCCCTTTTGGTTGAAGCTTCTTTGGTTTTTTTAGTTCTGTGTGGTACGTGATGTATCACTGGCTCTCAGCTCTAGGTGTGACAGTCACAGTATCTTCTTCCAGCGTAGGGATGTCTAGTGTACATCCAGAACATGCTGTGTATTGTCCTTTCTCATCCGTCGTCTTAGCTTGAGCTCCTGAAGAGCTTACTACAGTCCCACATTAGCGCTTGCTGCTTCACCTGCTCCACATTCCTTAAGCCTAGAACCAAACTTTTCAAACTCCAATCTTCTTTTGTGTGTTTGCTCTTTTCAGACAGGGTTTCTCTGTGAAACAGCCCTGGATGTCCTGGAACTCATTTTGTAGAGCAGACTGGCCTCAAACTCCCAGAGATCCTCCTGCTCCTGCCTCCTGAGTGCTGGGATTAATCCACTGCCTGGCTCAATCTTCCTTGCCTCTCTTTGTATTCCCAGAATTGGAGGTCGGACCTTACTCGATATTAGACTCCGGCTTAAGGGACTATTTAGCAACTTTGATTCTGTTGTCTGTCTAGATCACTAAAACTTATCCTTAGCAGCAATAACGACATTTTGCTTTATTCAGTCATTCACTGGTGTGATGCTTTCAATTTTCTTTTTTCTTCAAAATTTTATTTATTATGTATACAGTGTTCTGTCTGCATGTATGCTTGCAGGCCAGAGGAGAGCACCAGATCTTATTGCAGATGGTTGTGAACCATCATATGGTTGCTGGGAATTGAACTCAGGACCTCTGGAAGAGCAGTCAGTATTCTTTAACCTCTGAGCCAACTCTCCAGCCCTCAATTTTCTTCCAGATAATTTTTAAAAAACTTTTTCTTTGGCCTTGAACCTGCTTTCCCTGTTAGTTCTGAATGCTGGGAGTACAGGTGTGTGGCATCACTCCTGGATTCTCTCTCAGCCTAACACTTCTCCCTAAGCATAATCATTTATAGATCTTCAGCTCATATTTATGTCTCCTGACTTACAGGGAAAAGCATCTGATACTCCTTCCCACTTGAACATCTACAGGCCAATATAGGGAAATGTGCCTGATGATAGTTTTGTGTCTCAGGGAAAAGGGAGTCATAACGGAAGAGAGAGAGAGAAGGGTAGATAGCTAATTACTAGAATACTGAAATAGTAAGAAATTACACATTCATCCTGGAGCGATGGCTCAGAAGAGCAATGGCTGCTCTTCAGAGGACCCTGGTTTGATTTCCAGCACCCACATGGAAGCTCCCAATTTCAGTTCCAGTTCCAGGATATCCAATGTATTTTTCTGGTCTCTGAGGGCACCAGGCACACACATAGTACAAAGAAATACATGCACACAAAATACCCACACATTAAAAAAAAAAAAAAAAAAAAAGCTACATATCATTTGATGATGGTTGTCTAACACTGGCTTAGTTTGTAGTGACCCAAAACAATTATAATAGTAAACAACAAAACCACTGGTTCCTGGGCATGGGTATATCCGTTTAGTCCCAGCACTCAGGAGGCAGAGATAGGTGGATCTCTGAGTTCTAAGCCAGCCTAGTCTACAGAGAAAAGAACACACAGAGAAAACCTGTCTTGAAATTACAGTGTCATGTCCCATCCATGTCCCCCCCCCACCCCCCCACCCCGCAAGAAACACTGATCAACATAAAAGACGAAATGAAAAAGCTGAGTGGTGGTAAGTATCTTTAATCCCAGCACTTAGGAGGCAGAGACAGGTGTTATTTGTGAGTAGTTCAAGGTCAGCTTGGTCTACATAGTGAATTCCAGGATAGCCAAAGTCACATAGGGAGACGCCCCCACCTCCCCAGCAAAAACAAAACAAAACTAAACCAAAACAAAAAACCCTTCAAATATTCTGAGAACTATAAAAATACAATTAATACATAAAATGAGCACATGCTGTTAAAAAAGGAAGAACTACAGAGTTGGCTCAGGGGTTAAGGGCATTTGTTGTTCCTGCAGAGGACCCAAATTCAATCCCAGCACCCACATAGTGGCTCAAAAAAATCTCTAACTCTAGTTGTAGGGGGATCCAATACCTAAGAAACGTGGAAAACACTCATGCACATAAAATAATAAATCTAAACAAACAAAACAAAACAACAAGCTTGCTTCCAGTAGTGCTATATCTGTATGGCTTAATAAGACAGATCCCAAAAACAGAGTTTCATTTGTTCAGAATTTTAAAAATCTCAGTTCAAAATCGATTGTCTCTAATAAAAGTCAAAGCACTGTCTTCTGAATTGCGACAATTTAATTATCCCTAGCCAAGTATGCATTAGATCTCAATTTATTGAAAACTGCCTTTTCTGGGTTTATTGAAAATTAAATGGCCAAGTAGTTCATACAGTAAATCCTCACTTCCTTTTTTTCACCTATTTGGATAAATATGATTATTCTGTACAGTTGTAACAGATACATAAAAGTATGCTACTTACACTTGGCGTACAGACAGTCCATCATTGACTGCACCAAGTCCAGTTTGGCCTTAATGGAAAAGTTGATGAAGTTGGTATCAACGAGGATGTGGTAAGGTGGACCGAGTTGTGTATTATACTGGAAGAATAAGCAGGAAGGATGTTGGGGGCTGGAAGGAGACAGAAAATAAGATCACAATAAAGTCTCATTGATAATTTTGATGTTAATGAAACCAACAATGAAGTATCTGCTTTTGAAAGCTCATTACAGGCAATTATCCTTTCCCCTTGTTCACTGCAACTAAGAGTTTACGAGAAGTCAGGGAAGGGGCTGAAGAAAAGGCTCAGCAGTTAAAAGCACGTACTACTGCTCTTGTAGAGGACCTGAATTCAGTTCCTAGTATTGACACTAGGTTCATAACTGCTGAATTCCAGCTCAGGAGATCCTCCACCTCTAGCCTCCAGACACCCAAACTTATGTGCACATGCCTACACACACACACACACACACACACCTGACTAAAAAAACAAAGTTAACAGCATGTTAATTTCAGGCCCACTAGAAAGCCATGACACAACTTTAAAAACACAATTACCCCAAATCTAGTTCTTCCTTGGTCAGGAGGACAGTCACAGGGCACAAAGACACAAATGTAGTTATCAGGATTAGGTCAATGCTACAGCAAGCTTGCCATTCTCAAAATCCTAAAATGGTTGTATGGAATGTAAATGATTGTCTAGCATTAGTATTACATATTATAGCAGAGCCTGTTGCTCTTCATGAAGTTAAATATACTTATTTTAAAGGAAAAACCTTCATCCAGAATATATAACCTTACAAATTTGTCAATATAGTCTCTCTTTTGTGAAATTCTGGTGTGGCAATTATTTGTTTCCTTTAGGGGAAAGTTTACTGCTCCACCGGATTCAAAAGCCTCTAAGACATCGACATCAGTATATGCTCATTAATACCACTTTCATGCCGGGTGGCAATGGCACACACCTTTAATCTCAGCTCTAGGGAGGCAGAGGCAGGAGATCTCTGTGGACTCACTCTGTGATTTTCAAGGCCAGCCTGGTCTACAGAGCTATTCCAGGACAGGATCCAAAGCAATACAGAGAAACCCTGTCCAGAAAAACAAAACAAAACAAAACCCAAACAAACAAAAACCAAACAAAAAACAAACGGAAAAAACTTTAATTTGTTCATGCCCCAAGCTTACTAGTAAATAACTAACTTACTAGTAAATCAATCAGCATGGAAAGCCTGGATTTTTAATGGGGTCAGGATTTAGGATCTCTTAGGTTTTTTGTTTGTTTGTTTTGTTTATGGAGAACTTGAAGTTTATTAATACTCACACTTCTCTTTCCTTCAGGGCACTGGGATCTTTCTTTTCTTTCTTTTTAGGCTTTAATCTGTCCTTTTCTTTACTGCAAAAAAGTATTTTCAGAGAAGAGGAAAAATGATACAGTTAAAATTTCATCTGAAAGTTTCAACTTGCTGGGGATGCCACCCAGTGGTAGAGCACTGGACTAGTATGTATGAAGTTATCCCTAGCACCTCAAGCTCCATTCTAATCACTTTTTTCTATTTATGTATTTATGTTTTTTCCATTAAGGGTTTTTCTGTGTAACAGCCTTGACTGCAAGTGTCACAACTGCCAGGCACCAAAACAATGCAGTTTTGTAACTTTGTGATCTTAATATCAACATTCACTTTGACAGCAAGTAACTGTAGCAGGAAGTAGCCTGAAAATATCAAAATTAATCAATAAGGCAAATAAACTAAAAAAAATCGTTAACTAGTAAATTCTAATTATACTATTAACTATTTTCTCTTATCAGTGATTAAAATCTAATTCCAAGAAAATAATGGGTTTTTTTAGATCAAAAGACATTATATACATGTTTGAAAATATAATATTTAAACCTTTTATGTATAATTAATATATGCTAATAAAAATCTACTTTTAAGAGGCCATGAAGAGGTTGATATTAATCTTCTGAGTATCCCAAGCTGGACATGGTAGCCTTCCCAGCAGAGTGGCAGAAGTAGGCAGATTTGAAGCTACATAGCACGTTCCAGGCCATCCAAGGCTACATTCTGACAGCCTGTCTCAATAAGTAACAATAACAAAAAAATAACCGAACCAAAACAAAAAAGATTCAGATTACCAGTATAGGGGAAAAGTTTCCCCACACTGATTATAAAGGCTTGAAACATAACACATAAAATGGAACCTTGAACCACAAAGAAATTATCACTGAGACATCATTCATAAAGATATATAATAAAAACCCACATGATAATTCTGAAAGCTCTAATGACCATTCTTTTATTCTAAGACTCTTAAACAATAAAGGCCAGTAAATAAACAGTTTACCCAGTTTTTACTAATGTAGGGAAGACTGGTTAGTTTTTCTTTATAATGGGAAATACCATTCAAGATTTTTACAATTTCTAAAATGGAACTATCTTGGAGTTTTCCCCATCCTCCCTTTTAAACTTGGGTGTCAGGAATTGGAAACTGAAGGCAAGCATGGTGTGGCCTCACGGGCTTTTCAACAATGACACCACCCTCCTCACGCTCCAGAATTCCATACAATATAGATCTAAGACATAATAAGAAAAACAACAGAAACAAATTTTACTACTTAGCCCGTCGTGATTATTGTATCTCTTGATCACTAGGAAACCAGTTGATTCTGACCACTCACAGTCTCTCATCTCTGAGACTAAGCATTCGCTTCATCGTCGCATATTTCCTTGTTTTCTTTTGCTTCCCCTAGAAACGGAAATTTTCGAGTTAAAAGAGTTGGAAACACAGCGCATCCTTTACAGTTCCCTTCTATTTTTCTTGCCGCCTCTTTCGGCAAACACCACCCTCCTGCCCCCACTCCTTGAAGCATAGGTCCCTTCAATAAGACCAGAATGGAAAGAACAAAACCCAAGGGAAGCTCGGAGGCTGTATTTGACCAACAGCTGAGCTCCCACACGCCCGCAAAGCGCTCGGACAAAGTTCCTTCTCCCTCTCTCCTCACCATGTTCACGCCGCACTCCTGTTTCTTCCGGAATCACTCTCAGCGCGACACTTTTACGTCATCCACATACTGCTTCCGGCAAAGGCCAACCCGGAGGCGGAAGTCACTTTGGGAAACGGAAAACCTCCGAGCCGGCTCTGAAGCGCCGGTAGAGATCGAGACTGGGGACTCTTGGGGGGCGGGTGGAGGGCAGGTTTTGTGCTGGATGCGGCCCCTGCCTCCCCGGACCCCAGAGCTAGGACTTGCCACGCTGCATCCCCAGTTCTGGTAACGTTTCCCTTCACGCCCCAGCCGGAGGCAGAGTCGAGCCGACCCGCAGGCACCAGAGTTCCAGGAGAGCGAGAGAGGGGATGAGGATAGCGGGGTCGGAATCCTGGGCTGCCCCGCAGTTTGCAAATACATTGTTTCTCCTCCGGCTCACCGAGGCTCCTCTGTAGTCCAGCCCCGAGGCTCTGGTTATTGCTTGGCTTTCCTCGCCGGCATAGTACTTCGTGAGGTTAAGTGGACGATTCTTGGGGAAGAGAGGGATGTGACAGCACTTTGTGTGTGTGTGTGTGTGTGTGTGTGTGTGTGTGTGTATACAAGCACGAGCGTGCGGGTGGCATTCAAAGCAGAAGCTAGAAGAAGCTGGTTGTTTATCTTGCTCTCTACTTTTTTGTTTTGTTTTGTTTTGTTTTTTTTTGAGACCGTCTCACCTAACTTGGAACACCCCCTGCCAACTCCCTGCTTTTTTGCTAGATTGATTGGCCAGAAAGCCCCTCGGTACTCCCATCTCTGCCTTCCAGCACTAGGGTGAAAGGCACTTGCCACAATGCCTGGCTTGTTTTTGGATGCCCAGATTCGGGCATCCAGACTTAGGTCTTGCTTGGTCTGCAAGCACTTATTCTCTGAGCCAGTTAGTCCATTCGCTGTCCTTCTGTAGATGATCAAGAAAAACAGGTGCATAAGCCTGTATGTGCAACTACTTAACCATGCCTCGGCTATGGTGGGGAGCTATTGGTATTTATTATGACGCCTGATGTGCTGTCCTTAACGGGAGAGGGAGGATTTGTGAGAATGGGAAAGATAACTTCTCGGGTGTTTGCTTTTGCTTTTTGTTTTTTGCCCTTAGAATCTGCTGTGTATTCTAATTACTCTTAAGCATTTGGAGGGATTTCTTTTACCCCTTGAAAGGCTGTCAAAAGCCAGAGACAGTTTCTGAAAGTGGATGTGTGTGTGCGTGTACACACTTTGACATGCAGCTGATGAGACTTCTAGACTATGTAAACTTCATTTACTTGGCACTTTGAGCTTCACAGTACCTCAAAAAGCTTTGATTTACTGATGTTGAAGCTGTGACCTAGACACTCAAAGGTCTGTTTGATTCTGAAGCTCGTGTTTTACTTAGTGCATGATGCTGACTTGGTGTTGCTGGATTATAAAGATGTTAACAGTATAACACTGCAAGATGTTGTATTGGTTATTGAACTTCAGAGTTTGACTGGCTGCAGTTTAAACCCTTTTTTAGTTGCTTACTTGCTATATTACTTTGGGCCATCAGTTGGTGACTCTGTTTCTTAGTCTGTAAAGCTAAGATAATCATCATAGTACCTGTATTACAGGGATGTCAACATGACCAGTAATTCCCTAGAAAGCTTACCATTAAAATAACTCTTGTAGCCAGGCAGGGGTGCAGGCCTTTAATCCCAGGACTGGGGAGGCAGAGAGGCAGGTGGATCTCTGTGAGTTTGAGGTCAGCCTGATCTACAAAGCGAGTTCCAGGACAGCCAGGACTGTTAAACAGAGAAACCCTGTCTTGAAAAACAAAAAAGGAAAAAGTATTTTCAGTCATTTACTGTCCTGTTTTTCTAACTTGAAATGTTACGCACTTGTATGTTGATATATTTCTACTACTTTGAAACTTGAACATATTGGTTAACCTCAGAAAACTTACTAAATTTTCAGGTCTCTATAATGGGTCATTTTGAGTTGGTTTGGATATAGAACTGGTGTCTTTCCTTCTGTTCTTTTAGGCAAACATTGTGTTCAGATCTCTTTGTAGTTCACATATCTGTGGGTTGCAAATTTTTGGTGTTGAAGTAGTTTTATTATTGACACATCTTTAGAGATTGTCTTGCCTCCTACTTTACCCCCAGGAAATTCCTAATCTTTTCAGAACAGCCTGTTTCTGCCTAGCTATCATTCATGGTTAAAGTTAGCAGCAGCCCATTTTTTCTTTTCTAATTGAAACATGTTAGTGACTAGGCATTTAGCCTTTTAAGTAAACATGGTCAGTTATTTATTTTTAAACCTTTGGAGACTGATTAGAAGTGTGTGCGCATGCCTGCATGCCTGTGTGTGTTTGATGAGAGGACTTGAAGAGAATATTGCTGCTAGTTAAATTGTAATTTGCATTTAAATTGAGGCACAGACAGAACAACCCTTTCCATGAACTGTTTTTCTTCTTCTTCCTCCTCCTCCTCCTCATCCTCCCCCCCCCCACACACATTTTAAGGTAGTTCGCAGTTTCTGTTCTGAGGACTTTCTGATCCCTTGATTGTTAATACTTGATAGGGAGCTAAATTAGTGTAGGAACACTGTGGGGGTTGAGGATATAGTTAGAAGGGTTTCTGCTGTGTTGCACTTTTGTCATGATCTGAGGTTCTAAAAGCCTGTGGTTAAAGTCCTCAGCTATTATATAGCATTCTTTGAGAGGGTTAAAGTGTCGTGGCTCTGTGTTGGGTGGGAGCAGAAGTAATTACGTTCGACTACACACTTGTGAGGAAAAGAATTGTTTTAACCCTCCTCAGCGGTTCAGAGGGCCACTGTGTGTTTTCTGCATTGCTAAAGAGAAAGACTCTGAAGCCATTGGGTCCATAGTTTGATACTTGACTGGGCTTAGACTTTATTCTACTCACTCACTGGTCTAAGTACATTTTTAATAAAAGTATGCCTAGTGGAAGAGCCCTAGAGAACGTCTTGTAGTTCATGTTAATTTAGAGATATGATTTCTAGTTTCAAACTACAGTTTTACACTTATCTTTATTGGTTCATGTGTGGTTTTCCCAACAAACATTGGCTGCTGTCAGATACTTTTTTAAAATTTAACTTGACTGTCTTTAAATAAGATAGCAAGGCTGGAGAGATGATTTGGAGGGTATGAGCACTAGCTGCTGTTCCAATGACCAGAATCTGATTCCCAACACCCACATCTGACACCTCACCTCACAGCTGCCTATAACTTTAACTCCAGAGCATTTGATACCTATTTCTGGCCTTCAATGAGCTCCAGAGAGCATTTGCACACACACACGTGCACACACACACACACACACACACACACACACACACACACACACTCAGAGACAGAGAGAGAGAGAGAGAGAGAGAGAGAGCACACTCATACACATAAAATGAAATTTGAAACAATACAGCATGTTTTCCTAGGTTTTGGTATTGGATTGATTTATAGGACATGTCAGAGGTACATTACTACTACATGCTTATCCACATGACATTTATTTAGAGTCCATTCTGTTTCAGACAATATGCTGGTTACTCTAAAAAAAAAAAAAAAAAAAAAAAAAAACTCAGACTCTGTTGAAGAATGACTTGTTAATATGGGATATGGTCAGCTAGAGGAATGTAAATTCACATATTTTGGAGAAACTACTGTACCTGTTCATCCTTCTGGAAGGGTCCTGGTTAGAGTATTGTTGTGTAGTATTTATTTATTACAATCAATATACCATGTAACAGTTTGGGTTTTATAACGTTAGTGAGTTATAGTATATTATTTTACCTTTTTTTTTTTTTTTTTTTTTTAATAAAGATAAGGTCGGTATATCACTAGCTGACTGGCCTTGAACTAGCTAGACAGCTGAGGATAACCTAGAACTTTATTTGTTTGTTTTGAGATAGGGTCTCTCTAATAAGCCCTGGCTGTCCTGAAACTCCCAGGAATCTGCCTGTACCTCTATAGACTGCTGGGATTAAAGATATGCTCTACTATTCCTGAATACGTAGAATTTCTTCATCCTTCTTCTTCAACCTCATGAGTGTTAAGGATTACAAGTTGCACTATCATACCCAGTTCATACATTGCAGAGGGTCAAACCTCATGCTGGGCAAGCAACTCTATCAACTGAACTTCAACCAGAGCCCTCATTTTACCTTTTAAATGGCTCTAGTCATTGATTACCTTAGGTTTAAATTTAAGCTATTATTCTTTGGTGACATTTTCTTTGAAAGGTTATTAAATGTTTAGCCTTTATTATTCTTTTCATAATAATGTTTAAACTTTTGAGGTAGTTTATATAGTGTACTGCATGAGTGTACCTGTATGTGTGTATGTGTGTGTGTGCATCTATGTATATGCTTACAACTAATGCATTTGTTTTAGTGCAGTTTGCCTATTATTGTTGAAATATTGTTATTAATTGCACTTTGTGTTTATTGTACTTTCTGGCCAGAGATCAGATAACTATAATTTAATAACAACACTATTTTACATAATGTGGTAATAATATTAACTAGTTCTTAATGGTTAATACAGGTCCCTCAGTTTTCTCCAGAGATTTAGCCCATGTTATTTTAACCCTCATCCACTTTGGCAAATTTAATGCAAGGAGAGCCTCTGGCATACATGGTAAAGCTATTTGAAAGAGAAAGCAACTGAGACCTCCCAAGTGTGAAGCAGATGGGTATGATGCTGATGGGCATATAGCATGTAGAAAAGAATAGAAAATATGTACTAGAGTGTTTTCATCTACACTGCTTAAGTTAGGTCAGTGATTAAGGAAGTAGCATCAGACTTGTAAGGG